AATATATAAGAATTGATGTGTTTATTAATTATTTTGGAAGTATATTTATGAGGATGATCCTTGCTGTTACCCCAAACTGCTTCCGGTTGGTGCTTGAGAAAGAGGTTGGGAAGTAGGGAGTGAAAGGAGGAAGGTGGAGTGGTTGAGAGTTTAGGGGGAGGAAGGTTTGGCAGGTGAAAGAGGGGGAAGCGGAGAGGGGACAGCGGGGATCATACGTAAATTATATATTTTTTTTGTGTACTGATGTTTTGTATTTATATCCATCAAATTCATGTTTATATTTTATTATATTTGAAAATAATAAAAAAATTAATAATAATAAAAAAAAGAATAGCAAACATTTTTGAGGGATGAATTAAGGGTTTCAATCCAAACACCTCAGATTTTAAAGCTAGAACCTTAAACATTTTATATTTATTCTAGGAAGACGATAAGAGTTTAAGGGCCGAACTTAAGATCAGGATTGTAATTATGTTTCTTGCCAATCAAATCACCAAGAATAGCAAGCTTTTTTGAGGGGTGGATTATGGGTTTACAGCCAAACACCTCTCAGCGTTTAAAACTAGAACCTTAAACATTTTATATTTATCCTAGGAAGATGATAAGGGCTGAACTTAAGATCAGAATTGTAGTCCTGTATAGACATGTTTCTTTGTCCCTTTCTTTAAGAGACAAGGTGACTTTAGTTAAGAGAAAGGAAATTAAGCTGTTGAGCAGCCACTGTTCTTAGAAACTGCTCTGAGAAATGAACAAACATGGATCCGTAAAGACAAGCTATGAGCAAGGGTTTCATCAATATTGTGTGAATGTTTTTGCTTGTTTCCTTTACAAAACTGCTCTCTTTCGTCATCTCTCTCTCTCTCTCTCTCTTTTTTTTTTTTTACAGGGGACCTTTATCATCCCAGACCTGCGCTCTGTTCTTCTTGATCCTGAACAATGGGAGACACCTGAAGAATTTAACCCAAATCACTTTTTAGACAAGGATGGGAAGTTCATCGAACGAGAAGAGTTTCTGCCCTTCGGAATAGGTAAGCACAAAGTGGCTTACTTAATTAACACAAAGCGGCTTACTTAATTAACTAACTAACTAATTAACTGTATATCCTACCCATCTCACTACCAAGTGATTCTGGCCATCTTACAGATTTCCACCCCCACCCCTGAGTTGTTCTGAGGTGATCGTGCTCTGAATAGCAAATCAAGGAATCCTAATTTCTTTTAGTAGCTGGGGCAGATCCACAGCAAACGTGACATCCTGAACCGTTCCTGAACTGATAATATGAGCACGAATATTTAAATCCTTGGCCAAAAAAGAAGTCAAAAGTGACCCAATGCTAGAGTAGCAATTACTCTGAGGAGGACAGGAAGAAAGGCCTGTTTTGCAGACTGTTAATCCCATATTTGTCCAGGCAGCCGGGTGTAGCAAGCAAAGACTAACAAGAATAGGTGTCTGGTCAGTGAAAGGGAATTCCTATGGATTACGTCCATTCCATCTCCCTCTAATCCAGCTGTAGCCTGATGCACCATAAAATAAGTTGGTGGACAGAGCGGTGAGAAAGTTACTTCCCTCTTGTAGGCAAATCTCTGGAAAAATATGCCAGATCAGGTTTTTTCATGGGTCCATAGTTTTCCCTTTGAAATGATGCACTGTCTAGTACAGGGGTAGTCAACCTTGGCTCTTTTATGACTCATGGACTTCAACTCCCAGAATTGAAGTCCACGAGTCATAAAAGAGCCAAGGTTGACTACCCCTGGTCTAGTACAACCCGAGTTAAATCATCCCCTTGATGAGCGTCAACAAACAGAGTTAAATGGGAGAAAGCATCTCTAAGAATCGAGTCTGCGGGAAGATACTAGGATTCAGCATGGAAATCTATTTTGACTGTTTCAAATTTACTTGCCGATAGGTTATACTCTGGAGAACACAATTATTATGACTCCTTTTATGCATGCTTTGTCTCATCTACAGGTCTACGTGTATGTGTGGGAGAGCAGCTGGCAAGAATTGAGATCTTCATCTTTCTGTCCACCCTGTTGAGGGCCTTCAGCTTCCGGTTGCCTGCAGGAGTGAAAGAACTCAATGAAGCCCCTGTTGCAAAGATGATAATGCATCCACACCCTTACAAATTGTGCGCTATTCCCACACAGGCTTAAACTTTTAAAAACACCATAAAAAGCGTACATTTCCTATATGGCTGTTTACTTTATTTGATCTTTTTGATTGCTTGTACATTAAAACATTTTCAGCCTATTCCTGGCTTCACAAACATACCTAACCAAGTCAGTCCGGAGGTTGTGTGTGAACAATATGCTAAGTAAATTTGTTACATGTTACCTTAGTTTCCTTTTGGGTGCCAATAAGCATATCACTTTCCATTTAGTCCTAGAATCTTTTTTTTTTCATCTATATATAAATAAAAATGTAAATGTTCATTTGTTCAAAATCTTAAATCTCCGAAAGTTCTTCACCGATTGCTTTGAAAATTTTGACACAATGTTGCATTCGAATACGCGCGTGTTTTTATATACCTATATTATATAGATGTCACACCTGTGACAGGTAAAAACATGCTTTTTTTGAAAAACAGCGCCATCTGTTGGACATAAAAGCAACACACGTTTTTACCAGACTGAGCCACAGCAACGCATGGCTGGGTACAGCTAGTTTTTAATAAAATGAAATCGGCTTTATGGTCTCCAGCCAGAGCAAACCTCAGAGACTTCTTCAGTGCATGCCTTCAGGTAGACTTCTGTGTTCTCCTTCCCAGGAGGCTCACCTTAAAGAAGGTTGCTGGCTGATTATCTGCTGATACAATTAGTGAGAAGAAGTATTTGCACTTCAGTGCCTGAATTGCCACAAATTAGCTTTAATAGCAGCTCTTACCCCTGTTTGATCGAGTTTGTTCTTTGCCTTCTGCCAACTGTGCTCTAGAGTCTAGACATTTCTTCATTCATTTCACCCCTGGAGGTTTTTCCGTGTCGTCAGGGTCACCTGAGGTCACCCCTGGAGGTTTTTCCGTGTCGTCATGGTCACCAAATGGGTGTGGAGCCTTCTTGGAACTGTTGAAAGGACTGTATTGTAGACTGGAGATAGATGATATCATATCTCTCCCCCTCTGTTGAGAGAGGCCGTTCAGTTTTGACATAGATGGCTAACACAGTCCTTTCAACAGTTCCAAGAAGGCTCCACACCCATTTGCACTCCTCAGGGGACCTTGATGACACAAATAAACCTCCAGGTGGCCTCATGACTCTCTAGAAGAATGCAAATGACCAGCTATCCTTCCATTTTCCACTATCCAGTCAGAGCTGAAGAAGCTTCTTGGATGAGAAGTGAAATGTCTTCAAAGAAAAACAAAGTCCAGTTGCCTTGTGAAAAAAAATCATCTTTGGGACAACTATGAGCTGGATGACTGAGAATCTCCATAGACATGAGACCAGTACTAAATACTGAGATCACATTCCCCATGAGCGGCCCCACTCCATACCTCTTGCCATATTTCCAATTATCAGACACTACAGAAATATACTGCCCTACCCAGGTTTCCCTGCCAGACATTTCACCCCTACTATTATTGATCTAAAAGAGCCAGTTTAATCTAGTGGTTAAGGCACCAGGCTAGAAAGCAAGTGTCATGTAGGTCACATATGCAGATGCTGGCAGCAATAAAGTCTTTTATTGTACTACTATACCACAACAGATGACCCTACAATGGCTGGTAAAGCTCCACCCCAAATTGCACCCAGTCAGTGCAACCTGGTCCTACAAACTAGATCCAACAGTCACTAGAGCTGATTCACAAGGCAAGGAGGAAGTCC